GGGGGGCAGTGAGCACTGCTCAGAGCTCGGGCACACGCGGGTGGGCTGTCCTGAAGGGAAGAGGGGTCTGGCGTGACCCCAGCTTTTGGCCTGAGCCCCTGGAAGGGTGGTGCTGCGTTCCTGTAGGAGCAGTGGGCTGCGCTGGAGCACAGGGCAGGGCCAGCTCTGGGTCTGCGCTATTAGGTCAACGTGCCCCTTGGGCATCCGAGGGGCACTGCCGAATAAGCGTCTGGATATGAGTCTGGAGTTGGGACAAATCAGGAGCTGCGCACGCGCAAACAGGAGCTGAAAAGCCGCGACCAAAGGCGCGAGACAAGCCTGCAGGGCTCAGCAGTGCCGGCGACCAGATGGACAGAGAAGGACGGCTGAGCAGCCCAGGTTTCCAAGGAGCGCGGCAAGCACCCACACCAGGGGCTGCCTGCAGACAGCTGAGTAAGTCGGGGCTGAAACTCGGCCTTGGGACATGATGACGGAACTGACTGTGACCTCGACCGGGCTGCTTCAGGGCAGCAGGGCTGGGCCAGGACGCTAAAGGGCAGTGGGGGCTGGAAATCCCAGGGGCTGGGCAAGGAGACACAGACACAGTGGGCTTGGGGATCAGCTGGAAGCTGGACAGGAAACGGAGCAAGTGTCCTGGACCCCAGGAACTGACCCCAGCAGCAGGCGAGGAGGCGCACACTGGGCCCAGGGCAAAGGGAGGCGCCCACGGGGACTCCTGCAGCGCGGGAGCAGGCGGCAGAGGCGCGAGGCGGACGCGCGGGGAGCCATGGCTGAAGACAGCGGTCTCAAGGCAGGGGGATGGGCGGGAGCAGAGGCGGAGGCCCAAGGCGGCCACAGGCTGCCTGCCTGAGTGCCATCACCCCACGACCACTTCCACTTCCCAGGCCACCAGACACCATGGCACAGGAGGGGACGCGACACACAAGGAGCAAAGGCCCGATCTAGTGGCTGCATCTGGATGAAGGCATTCAGCCTCACTAGAAACGGAAATCCCAATTAACGAGACCACCGGCACGGTCACCTCTGAGGACCCTCCTGAGGGTCCTGAAAAGAGCACGAGACTCCTTATTTCCTTCAGCAGCAAAGACTGAGGCAAGGCTGAGCACCCCGGGTACCCGTGCCGCCTCGCAGGGAGGGCAGGAGCGCGCTCAGCACCTACTTGAGGACCTGGGCGACGGTGTTGGGCCCGTACCACTGGCCGATGGACTTGCCCTCGCCGACTCCCATTTGTGCTGAGGAAACAGAGCCGGTCAGCGGCACACGTGCCCCGCCACCCCCGCACCCCTCCCTGTGCCTCACAGAGGCCGATCCCAGCACGTGTGGCGTGAGGCGCATGCCACAGGAAGCCTGCCTTGGGCACGAACTCCTGACTGGCACCAGGACGCGTCCTCCCAAAGGGACAGACTCCTCCTCAAGGTGTCCCCTCCCCACCGACCTGCACCGGGCAGCAGGACTGGGGACATGGCCCAGGTGAGCGAGTTCAGGGCTCTACCCGCACCTCCGTCTACAGGTGGAGACATGACGCTCAGAAGCTGGATTAAGACACAGGAGCGCCCGGACTGCCGGCCGGAGCCCGGGAGGACCAGCCTCCAAGGCCACCAAGTTGGTATCCAGAGACAGGGTGCCCCACAGCACTCCACCACGGGCCCAGGGCCGTCCCCACCCCGCTGGCCTGCGCCTCACGGCACGCCAGGGCTCTCGGGGACCCGGCGCCGCAGCGGCCGAGGCGCGGGCCCGGCGCGCCGCCACCCCCCACCTATCTGGTGGATGGAGTAGCAGCTGTCCTTCCTGTCCAGGAACGCGCGCAGGACGCTGAAGTAGCTGTCCGGCTGCCTCGCCCGCCGCGTCCACCTCCAGTCTGCGGGAGACACGGGCCAGGCTCAGGGCCGCCAAAGTGCAGGCAAGCAGCCTGCGCTCCTCTAAGGCACTCCAGGCACTCGTGGTACCCAAACCTCTCCTGAACCTTTCTACATTTAAGACCCGAGTTCCCCGGGATTTCAAAGACACAGACAGCCAACACATCAAGACAAACCCATACAGAAAGGAGAGAGGGGCTCAGTAGTTTAAAAATAATTTCTACAAGACAAACGTTTCTCAGCATTTCTTTAAAGCCCCTTTCTCTCACCGACGAGAACCACTGGGTCGTAGCTGAAGGAAACCCCAAATCCTAAAGCGTCTCGTGGTGACCCACTCCCGCCGACCTGGCCCCACCACCCTCCTGGCTTCCTGCGGACGTGGCCACCCCAGGCTGACTCACCTCGGCCCAGGTGCCGGCACACCAGGGCTTGGGCAAAGATCATCTGTCCACACCGCAGCATGCAGCCCCAGCCCGTGTCCGAGGTGGGGCCGGTGCCCCCTGCCGTGGAGGACAGAGAGAGAGAGAGGCACTCACCATCAGACCGAGGCCAGAAGCCCACGCACGGGTCACCTCCGCGTCAGGTGACACACGCCATGTGAACCTGCTCACGCCAAGGCTGCGTTTGCTGGGAAGTGAAACGTCCTAACAACCCCCTCAAAATGGGCCAAGACGTGAACAAGTCACAGAGAGAAAAGAATGTCTGGAAACATGGAAAGATGCTCAGCCTCATGAGTAATGCAGAAAACGCCGTCCACCGGCCAGGGCACAGGGAGACTCTGACGTTGGGCACCGCGGTACCAGGTGTGCATGAGACAGGCCCTAAGATGACAGGAAACAGGGCTGAGACCACGCGGGCCGCTGTGGGGGGGCTGTATCCTTTGCCCGCCCCTCCAGCAGCCCCTCCCGCACACACGCGCAGGGGACAAGGCCTGCCTCCCGGGGCAGCGGCAGGATTGGGGGAGGCAGAGCCAGGTGTGCAGAAACAACCCCAGCCACCCACCCACCCACGCCCCACATGGTCGGCTCCACGCGGCCAAGGCCGACACAGACCACACGGCCGGGAGAGCCACCATGCTCCACCCGATGGCTTTTCCAAACACAGGGCTGCCCTCCAGCCCGTGCTGCCCCCGTGGGTTCAGACACCTATGGGTTCAGCACGCTGTAGGTCAGGTGTCTGTCCTCCTGACCACATAGTGAGCCTCAGAGGCCAGGCGACCCCGCCCCTGAGTCCAGGGCCAAGTAGGGGTGAAAGGAGAACTTTTGCTGGATGAACCAACATTTCCCAAGCATGTCTGACAAGCCCTGTCACTAGACACTAACCCTGGTGATAATGGCCACACCCCCTACCTTCCAGTGTTCCCAGACGTCGAGCTCTGGGGGACGGATGGAAGCACATCTAGCAGTGGGACCAATCGAGACAGGCCGCCAAGGCAGGGCCGCCTCCTAGTTCCAAACCTCCAGCCTGGGGTTCTCCGACTGGCAGAGGCCAGGCACGGAGCCAGGCCCCCATCTGTCCACCTCCAGGGGTACCGCGAGGAGAATCACTTCAATGGAACATGCTTTCGTATCACGTGAAACACGTCACATCCACCTTTAGCTCCCACCACAACTAGGTGTAGGAGATACTAGAAAAGGCAATGGGTACGGAGCAAGGGCGTCCCAACATCCTGGACCAACAGCAAGAAGCACACTGTACAGCTACAACCCAGGACAACACCAGAGGCACAGGCATACGAGCCCCCCGGGAGCAGCAGGCCGCAGCGCCACCGTGACGTGCCACACCGCTTCCCGCCCCGTTCTGCTCTACGTTTCAAATGCCGGTCATGACCCATTATCCAGATTTTAGGCCCCAGTAATAGAGTGTGGCTTACAGTCAGAAACATCACTGCCTCAGCAGAATCAGGGGCCCTGGGTTTGGAATCCAGCTCTGCCACCACCAGGCACAAGACCTCAGCCGGTTTATTTAACTAGGGTTGCCTCAGGATGACACCAAGTGACAAGTACTTGACACACTGAAGTCAAAGCTAGAAACCTAAGTTTTCCTCTTGAATCACATGCGCTTCATCCCACATTGTAACAGACAATACTCACCAATGGCTGGGAAGTTCTTCCTGTATGTAAACCAAAGTCTCGACGCCACATCGGCCAAGATCTCGTCCTTTTCTAGAGAGCGTTCGAGAGAAGAAACATGCACACACAGCCGTAAGTTTCCAGGGCACATGTTACAGAGAGACAGCAGATAACTACCACCACCAAACAGTCCTTTCTGCAGACTGAGCACGCAGAGCACAGCAGGCTCCGGCAGGGCTGGTACCTGTGAAGATGCTGTACTTTCTACCCAGGATCCAAAGAGGCTCCGAGGTTTCGGGGAAATCTTCAAACTCAGCAAATCGGAGAGTGTCGTAGGTCAGAGTAGCTATGGAAAGCAAAGACACACTCTGATGACAGTTCTATGATTTCATAAAACAACATCAGAGATAATTTATAGCATCTCCGTACAAAGAGCCCACATGGAATTCTGCATCTCAGTGCACCAGCCACACCACTACACTGAGAAATCAAACACTCGTGACCTGGCAGCGGCCCTGCACCCACTTCCTGAACCTCTCAAATTCAAGACAGAGTCATTGTCTGGCAGACCCAAGGGTGAGAGACCATCTAGGGGCCAGGCTCAGGGCACAGAAAGGAGGGGAAAAAAAGGCACCTGATTTAAGCCCTTAACTGGTTTAGATTTAACTCTAAAACGACAAAAACACAAGAGCCCAAACCTTTATCTCTGTACATGAGGGCGGCCCCAGATGGCACAGAAGGTCAAGCAAGCTCTCCTGGCCGTCCCAGGGCTCCCAGGCCATCCCGACTTCTGGGTTAGGAGCCGTAATGCAGTGAGCGGCAGAGGGGCAGAGCGCTACTCCTGGGAGGGACACTGACCTCCCGAAACTAGTGCAAAGCCCTCCAAGGTCCCGGGTGCCGCGAGGCCTGGAAACTGGGGGGCGCACCCCGACTTCCTAAGGAGGTGCCGTGCGCGCAGCAGCGTCCACCTGCTGTGTCTCCAAGACCTGAGCGCCTCCTCTGTGAGCACCCCCTTCTGTGTGGCTTCCACAAAGAAGCTTGAGAGGCCGTGTTCCTACCGCCCTGGAGCTCCGGCGGAGGATACCCTCCCTCTGCACACGGCCCCAGAGGCGACAGAGCTCAGCCACTGCCCGCGAGGTGAGGGGCACACAGTGTGTCCCAGGTACCCCATCTCCCCAGCTGCTGCCTCACCAGCTCCACAGTGCTCTCTTACCCTTCACCTGCACTCAACTCTTTGGAAAATCAAAGATATTAAATGCGTTTCCCCCACACCGGAGTTTATTTTTCAACAGCCCTACCTTTCAGTAAAAATGACATATGCTATTTATAAAAAAAAATAAAAACCCCGAAGACTACAAAATGTAAAAAATCACCCTCAGCTTCATGCCCAGCACTGACTCTCCTTCCAGAAGCCGTATGTGTAGATCCATAAATGAAGCCACGCCGCACCTGTGGCTGCTTCTTCATCCTTTTCCACGCGGTGGCAACAGCACCCCACCCAGACGTCTCAGGGCCCCACAGGGTCCTGCTGCACGCACATCCCTGTCAGCCCACATCCCACAACCTCCCAGCTCTGGCCTTCACAGGCTGGAGGTTCCCGAGCAGGCGCTTAGCCTCTCGTGTGGAAAGCCCCTCACCCATAAAACGGAACATATAACAGGATGCCCTGGCAGCGCAGCGCTGAAGTGTCCCTGAAACCCTTCCCATGAGGGGCTCACGAGGAGGCTGGCAGACAAAAGGCTCCACGGTCAGCTGGTGTCACTAACATCAAGGACGAAGACAAGCAATCCTACTACATCCAAAAGGATTAACTGGATGCACAGCAAATTCACAGTCACAGGGCTGGGATAGCAGCACTCACTAAACAAACAAATCCGCTTCAACAGAAGGCCCTGTGTTCACCGCTTCAAGAATGCTCAAACTGGTACTTCCCTGGTGTCCAGTGGTTAAGAATACGCCTTCCAATACAGGGGACGCGGGTTCGATCCCTGGTCGGGGTACTAAGATGCCATATGCCGCGGGACAACTAAGCCCGCGCACCGCAACTACTGAGCCCGCGAGCCGCAACGGAAGATTCCCCATACCGCAACTAAGACCCGACGCAGCCAAAAATAAATAATTAATTATTTTAAAAAAGGGATCCTCCCCCTTGCAAAAAGAAAAAAAAAAATAGAATTCTCGAACGTTGGGAACCCAGACCCAGCTCTGCCTTTTTTCTTTTCACCTGAAATCCTACAGGGTCAGAGGAGTCCTGTGCTTCCAGAGCAAGCTCTGCTGCCCAGAGGGCTGGGTGCAAGGCAGGGAACATGTCTTTCCAGACATTCTTTTCTCTCTGATGTGTCTGCTTGTCCACGCCTCTCCAGACGATGTCAGCCAGGCCGCTTTGGGATCAGGGGTAAATAATTTAATGTCCAAGTTTCTCTCTCCCCTTTTTTACATAAGATTACTTGTTTATGCAGGTGATTATAAAAACCGAGTTGAGATGAATTAAAGTTCTACCTTTTCAAGGAGCTGAAAACATCATGTGTCTCTGCTGCCCTTTGAAAGCCACCCCACATCTTCAGAAAGCACGGCCTTCTCTGACCTCGAGGCTTAAACGATACGTACACTCAAAACCCACAAAGATGACTCCAAGGAAAAAGCACGTAAACAAGACCTGATTTCAACTGGTAGCGCTGTGGGACTGTACCTCTCACCCTGCTGGACCGAGACCCCAGGAGACTGCAGCCTTGAACTGAAGGCAGACATGCCTTCTAAACGCTGGAGGCTCTGAGCGACAGAGGGACACGGCACACATCAAAGGACCGTTGAGACACTCCTGAGACACCTAGCTTCCCACAGTGAGAAAACTACCACCACGAGGGAGACAAGCAGATAAGGAAGAGAAGGAAACAAGGCTCGTTCTGAAAGCCAGGTGACAACGGCCGGCCGGAGGGGTTTTTTCATCTCCAAAGACACCACATGCAAAGCAGGTACATTTCTCAGGGTAATGAGCCAAATTTACAGGCAACAAAGCCAACTTCAGAGGCAAGGTAGTAATAGGCGTCCTACCTATTAAGTTAGAACACATCACCGAGCTTCCTGCTGTAACTAACAGAATGACGGCTGTGCAGTCTCAGCCTTTAGAGTCCTCACTGCGAGAGGCAACTGAAGGGAAAAAATGGGCAAGGTGGCAGCTGCAGGGCCCGGCAGCTCAGGTGCAGCCGGGAGGTGACAGTGCAGGTGGTCCCCGAGTCCCCTGGGCCCACACCTCCCTGCTCCTCCTGATGGCAGGGCCACCCGAGTCCTGCCCCCTGTTGGGTGCGGGTCACACCTGCCTCTTGAACCAGCCGCGGACACCCCGCAGGCCCTGCTCCCCTCTCCGGGCCACACGGGGCACCAGGCAGAGCATCCGGCCAGCGTGCGGGGCCAGAAGTCCGTTGCTCCCCTCTTGGGAACCCTCCGCGCCCGTGTCCTCGCTGGCAAAGCAGGAGTGGTGCTGCTTTCCTCGAGGCTCACGGGAGGAAGAAACACGTCAACACACACGAAGAGCTCCGATCCTCACTGGGTGGCGACGGGCAGCGCACGTGGGGCATCGCTGAAGCGGGTAGGAGACCTTGTCTCCACAGCCCGCGAAGACAGGGAGGTGCAACACCCGGGACGACGTCCACCGCCCGAGTGACTTTACCAGACCCGGACCCCGTAACGGAGCCTGCTCACAAGGGCAGGGCCGCCGGCCACCTCCCGGGCTGCTTCACTGTCCTCAGGCTTCCACCCCGGAAAGCAGCAGAGACGGACCTGCGGCGGCTTCAACCAGAAGAGCAGCGAGCGGAGGGCTTCTCATTCCCGGGCCGCTGTCAGAAAAGTCCCCGCGGGCCTGCGCAGAGGACGGGACCAACCCTCCCTCCTGACACCCACCCACGAGGCCACGGGCTGGGGCACGTGGACCAGACCCCCAGCTCCCTGACCTTCGGCTCAGCCTCTGTAACGGAGAAAGGAAAGACTTTTCCGAATTCCATTCACCTCCAGTGTTCAACTTCCTAATTTGTATTAAGATTTGATTTTGGAGACAGAGAACCCACACGCTAGCTGTATGACACCCGATTCAAATCTCTAAGCCTCAGTTTCCTCACCCACGAAATGGGGAGAAGCTGCCAGCTCTGCCCAGTGGGCTGAGAACACAGGATAGGTTCCAGCACCGTGGGCAACCCCCAGCCATGGCTCTGAGCACCTCCTGTGCCTCTTCCTCGTGTGATCTCAGACCTCATTACTTACAAGAGGAAACTAAATTCCCCCTTCCCTGAACCAAACAACACTTTTGTTTTATCATCGGTATTAATTTAGCCACAAATATGTATTCATGTTTGTGCAGAACAGAAAACATTACAGAACACCAGTCCAGAAAAGACTCCAACAGAAAAACTAATACTTTTCCATTTTAAAACTAAAGTTCGCAATCACTGAGCTTCACAGAGGCCGACCAACACGAGGAGCCCACCCTCGAAGGTTCCTCATCGACTGTTCTCAGACTGACCAGCTCCACTGGGGATTGAGGCCAGCAGCCTCCGCACTCCGCCCAGAGGGCTACCTCGTCTCACACCAAAGCCCTGTGATAACCTCAGCACCTTCACATCCGACATCATTTCATTTGAAGTTCACACACCTCCTGAGTTAAAAGGAGCCCAACTTCCCAAAGAATGCCAGTCTCCAGATGCCCAGGTAATGATTTTAATTTTTTATATCTTTTTTTAACTTAATTATTTTTTGTTATTAATTAATTAATTAATTTTGGGCCGCGTTGGGTCTTTGTTGCTGCGCACAGACTTTCTCTAGTTGCGGCGAGCTGGAGCTACTCTTCATTGCAGTACACGGGCTTCTCAGTACGGTGGCTTCTCTTGTTGCAGAGGACGGGCTCTAGGCATGCAGGCTCAGTAGTTGTAGCTCAGTAGTTGTGGCGCACGGGCTTAGTTGCTCCGCGGCATGTGGGATCTTCCTGGACCAGGGCTTGAACCCGTGTCCCCTGCACTGGCAGGCGGATTCTTAACCACTGTGCCACCAGGGAAGTCCCATGATTTTAATTTGAAATAAGATGACACACAGAAGAAGCAAGACAGGCACCATCCACCTTGAGAAAGAAGCCTTTTAGAAACACTTTTCCCACCTGGTCACCTGGGTCCCAAACGCCTGATTTTCCACCTCTTCCCCCCTAGGGTGTCCCTGATCACACCCAGAAGAGGAAGTGGAAAGCCTTTTAACAGAATGGCAATTCCATTTTTAAAATGTTTCAATTTCATGTTATTAATATGATAGAAAATAGCAAACTGTGCTCCATAAATGTAACCACATGACAGTCCCAATTACAGAACTCAGCCAGGGAGAACGACAAAAATCATGCACCGTTACTTTTCTTGTAGAGCTAAGTGTAATGTACCACATTTCAAAGACATTTCCTCAAAATGCTTATGTTTCTGAGGGATTATACTCTGTAAATACATGTATTATATGCGCTTTATGAATAAAATTAAAACAAGGAATCTTCCTTTCCTTCAGAAAATGCTTATGTTTAAGATAACAGGCTTGCAAATAGTCAGTTTTCTCAAATCCCAAATAGTTTATATGAAAACGCTGCTGCTTCCGTTCCGAATGAAAAAAGGAAGGAAGGGAAGGAGAATGGAAGGGAAGAAAAGCTGGAACTTCAGCGGCATGAAAATACTGCACACGCCGCTTCAGTGGCCACACTGGACAGAGCGTCCACAGCGAGCCCCGCTGCCCTGCCGTGAGCTGCCCTCCTCATCAGCCACACTTGACGCCAACACACTGCATTTCCGTCACACACAGACTCTGCAGCCCAGGGACATATACAGGACAGGGATGTGTGCGTTAACACCAATTCAAGTTCTGCTTCTTCGATGGCCAGCCACATACCAGACACAACGTAAAGTACCAGAGATGAAACACAAGACACCGGCTCTGTCCTCAAGGAACGGACAGCATGTTGATTTAAGTGCCAACTGGAGCGGGTTTTTTCTGGCTACGTTGGGTCTTCGTTGCTGCGCGTGGGCCTTCTCTAGTTGTGACGAGCAGGGGTTGCTCTTCGTTGCGGTGCGCGGGCTTTTCGTTGCGGTCGCATCTCGTTGCGGAGCACGGGCTCTAGGCATGCAGGCTCAGTAGTTGTGGCTCACGGGCTCTAGAGTGCAGGCTCAGTAGTTGTGGCACACAGGCTTCGTTGCTCCGCGGCATGTGGGATCTTCCCGGACCGGGGCTCAAACCCATGTCCCCTGCACTGGCAGGAGGATTCCCAACCACTGCACCACCGGGGAAGCCCCTCGAGCGTGTTTGAACAGACAGTGCTTGGGGCCCGCCTGCCACCTTCAGACCTCTACGCAGCAGCCCCAGGGCCCCATCCCCAGCTCTGTCTCTCTCCTCCCACACTCAGACCCTCAGTGACCTCGTCCAAAGTGGCCCCCCACACACTTCTACCTCCAGCCCCATCCTCCTCCCTCAGCTCCAGGCCTGCAGACCCAAGGCTCTCTGGACGTCAAAACATGGACATCTAGCAGGTACCTCATGGTCACCATGTACAAGACCAAACTCCTAACAGCTCCCCACCAAGCAGGATCTCCCCATGTCTCCCCACTTGAGTTTCTCAGCTCAAGCCATACCTCACCATCTCCAGCCCCTCCCTCTCCACCCCGCCCTCGCCACGTCCCACTGGTACAGTCCCACTGTCTCAACCTGCAGAGGCAGCCAGAGGTCAACGCCCTCTCCCCACGCTGACCGAGGCCTCCAAGGGTTCGCGCGCGGCGTACTGCAACAGCCTCCTAACTGGTCTCCTGGCCTCGCTGCTGCCCGTCTGCAGGAGAGCAGCCCGAGCAAGTCGCATTACTCCTCCTCTCAAAAGTCTCCGAAGTATCTCCCGCCCGCTCGGACACCCTCACCACGAGCCCACAAGGCCTCACCTGGGCTGCATCACTGCTCCGCCTTCAGCTCTCCCCCCCCCACCCACTGTACCCTGGCCTGTACCACTGGCTGCTCCCGGAGCAGGACGCCTGCCCTCCCCCCGCACTGTTTCTGAGTCCTGGTCAAAAGTTACCTCTGTGGTGAGACCTTTCCGGGCCATCCTGGCGACTCCAAACCCCTCCTGTTTGACCCACGTCACCCGCCCACGAGCCACACCGTGGGTGTCATGTCTAGCATGTCAGCCAGCACACGGTTTTTATCTATTTTGTTCACTTCTCTAGCCCCAGGGTCTAGAACAATGCCAGACACAAACCCACACTCAGTAATAAGTATAGTTATTGAACAGATGACTATAAAAACAACCAGGAACTGCATAACATCTGGCAAGGAAGGCAGAATCTGTAAGGACTCCAGGGATCAGGGGAGGCTGGACCATTAATCATCCTAAAAGGTGGTACAGCACCACATCAGAAAGAAGACTCTCCACAACACCCTACAAATGTCATATACATTTTTACTAGCATCAATAGAGGCCTTCAAACGTGAACAGCTTTTCTGCTTTGAAGCAGTGATCTGTGTCCCATGAGGTATTGCCATGCGGCTACTCAACTTTAACGTGATGGTTTTCACGTTTAACGTAAAACGACCATCACAAAACTGTGCCTTCCACCCTAACCGAGTCTCCCAATGAATGCTCTTAGGCACCCAAGCAGTCATAACCTAAAAGAAACTAGATGACTAAATAATTCTATTCCTTCCCCGACCCCGGGCCTAGTACTTTTTCTGTTTTGAACAACTTCACAATACTTCTGGTTAACATCATGTTTTGGGAGTCATGGCTACCATTCTGTCCTACTACCTTGTGACTTAAGTGACAAGATGCCACAAGTCACTGAAATATTGGCCATACAGGTCTATATTACAGTTTCCAAACTGAGAGTTCACTAAATTTACACTGTAGCTACCAGGAAAAAAAAAAAAATGAGGCAAAAACCGTGCCATCCAGAATAACAGGTGGAATTAAACCAGAAGAAAGTTTTTACAGATGTGGGGATACTTGAATACAAATCACTCCCTACAAGTTATAAAAGAACTAAAACTGCTGTGGGATGAAAAAGAGGACCTTTCAAGGTGTAAGAATGCTTTCGAGGATACTGGACAAATATCCAAAATAGCGTGCCAGGAAAAATTAAACAATTCTCCCCCCTGGAGCAGAAACATGATGAAACATAGCAAAACAGCACATCCACAGATGTACACATACGTACGTATACGCACACACCCTCCCACCCCAGCCCCCACACACTTTGTGTTAGAGAGGTAAGACATGATGAGATGGATTCAGTCTGTCTTTTCAGTCACGGAAAACGCTTAGCTCATCTACTGGTTACTGAATTTGAAAAAAAAAAAAAACGTATGGTTTGAGTGGTGGAGTATGTTGCTCGCCTCCAACCCACCCCCGTAACTTTATAAGAGTTAAAGTTTCCCCTTCGTAACTCCTAGCGAACGGACAAAAGCTTCCCCACCGCACTGTCATGGACCGGCTCCGCCCGGCCTCCAGCACCGCTCGGCGTCCCCACCCGCCGTCCCGGACGCCGCGCTGCCCCGATCGGCGCCGGCCTCCCGCGGACGCCGCCCGCGCCCCGCTCCGCCCCAGGGCCCCGCTCCGCCCCGCGCCCAGGCCGCGCCGGCGAAGCCCCGGCCCAGGCCCCGGCGCCAAGCGGCCCGGCGAGCGCCGCCCCCGTCCCCCCGCGCCCCGCCGGCCCTCACCTGCGTCCATCTTCCCTCCAGAACCGCCGACTAAGCCCGGCGTCGCTCCGACGGTTCCGCAGAGAGACGCGACGGCACGCCGCCGTGGCCAATCCGGGCCGAACGGGTGCGGGCGCGGGCGGGGCCGGAAGTACGCGGCGGAAGTGCGCCGCCGCCATCTTGGCGTACGGCGGACCCAGCGCGGAGGCCCGGGCCCGCGCGCTCGGCTCCACGGCGGCCTGCGTCGTGCTTCCGGGGATCCCAGCAGCGACCCACCGGGGCAGCGGAAGCAGGCGCGAGCGGGCAGCAGGGCACCGGGGCGGGCTCGTGAGCCCGTCGTGCGCTCAGGCCCGCCGGCGCGGCCATCTTGCCGTACGGATGCCCCCCAAGCGCCTTGTCGCCGCAGGGCGCTGCCGGCCCGGGGCGCCCCCGCCCACCCTAGACGCCGCGAGCCGTGGGCTGCACCCTGCCAGGTGCCGGGTATCCAGGGCGCGCCGAGGGCCGGGCCTGGCGTCCGGGCGGCGGGCGTCCGGGCGCCGCCATCTTGCCGTACGGCGGGAGCCGCGGGGCTGGCTCCCACGTCCCGCAGCCGTGTCGCCGCGCGCCCTCCCCTCGGGGCGGTCCCGCCCGGGGCTCGGCGCGGCGAGACGAGGGCCGGAGCCTGGCGGCGGCGCGGCGGCCCGAGGCCCGAGATGGTGATCTGCTGCGCGGCCGCGAACTGCTCCAACCGGCAGGGCAAGGGGGAAAAGCGCGCCGTCTCCTTCCACAGGTAACCGGGCCCCGCCCGCCGCCGCCTGCCCGCCGCCCGCGCGGCCCGCGGGCCACGCCCCCGCCCGACCCGGCTCGGCCCGGCCCGGCCCCGCGGGGAGACTGAGGCCGCGCGGCCCTGTCGGACGCGGGGTAGCTCAGGGCGCGGGCCCCGGGCCGGTTCCGCGAGTGAGTCAGCGCGGCGCTGTGTGACCTTGGCCCGGCCGGCGTCTCTGGGCCGGGCGCCTCGGGCCACCGCGGCCGGCGGCTTCCATCCGCGGCCACCCGACCCCCGCGACCCTCGGCCGCCGGTGCGCGCCCCATGCCCACTCGGAGGCCGCCCGGCGCCCACGCCGCGGCCTCGGCAGCCTCTCCACCACCCCGTGGCCACCCTGCACCCCATGGGTTCGGGTTGGCGCCGCCAGTCTCCAGAAACGGTGTGTTCTGGAAACACGCTTCCTTCGGTCGGTTGTCGTCTTGCGTTTGCTGTGGCTTTTCTGCTTTTTTCGTCGCGGGGGAGTCAGTCTTGATCTCTGCGATCAGGGATGTGGCCGAGCAAATGCGCCTCGTGGATTAACACGCGCACCAGACGCTGTGTCCTAGAAGGGGCCTCGCGGTCGGCCTCGGGGAAGGTAGCCCTGCCGCGCGGAGGTGAGTCCCGGGAGGTCCCTGACAGCATCCAACGTGGGGCCGGCCCAGCCTGCTCCTCGCCGGGGCTTAGCTGCGAGTCGTGGAGGGCTCTGTTCCGTGGGCGCCCACTGAAACCGGCCCGAGGCAGGGCAGGGGCTGGCCTTCTCTCTGGCCTGGCCTGCTTCGTGAAGGCTCTGGAATTCAATCTCTTACAGCGAGTCCTTTTCTACGACCTCCACGCTGGAGGTACCAGAACAGTGAGCAGAAGGAAATCCACCTTAGAAATCTCCTCCCGGACACTTTTCTGTTTTCCTTTTGATGTTGCAGGATGGTATTCAAGTTTTGAAAGCCTGGAGGACATTTGTTCTGTAGTCTTACTGAAAGTTCATGGTGGTTTGCGCTAAGTCTTGGGTCGTTGCAACCTATCAGGATAGTAACAGCAGGTCGTTTCAGCGGCCAGCCAGCATCATGCTTACTTGAGTTTCCTTCAGAGCCCTTAGTTTTGTGACTGTATTTGAAAACGGAGGCAAAGCATTGCAGAGGAGGCTGCTCTTGGCATTCATAATGGCCGAGGACGTGGGAACTGGGGTGTGGGGGGAGCTTCGGGTAATGGGCTCCCAAAGCAGCGAGGAAATTTAGAGGGTCATGCTGCTTGGAGCTTCATGAGGAGTTGGTGTCCCCGTGGTCCTGGTCCGCAGCAGCGTCAGGTGGGTTAGGTGACCTCAGGTGCAGCAGAACAGCCCTCTGGAATGGCCGCTCTACTCCCACCCTCGTATGTGTAGTTTCACCAGAGTTTTCTAAATAGACATCTTGCCTGAATGAGAAAAAAATGATCATTAAGTGTCTTTTTCAGTATTTGCCAGGGACTGGTTGCTTTTCAGAGGGAGCCGCAGAGCCGCGGCTGTTGAGTCTCGCCTGCTTTGTGAGCTGCTCTCGCATCCTCAGCTCCTCGAGCCGCAGCTGGGGCACGGGGGCGGGGGCGGGGGTGTGTGTGTCTGGGACGCTCTCCTGGCCTCTTGCTCCCATCTCTGCTGTCTGACGCTTGGCCTGACTTCTAAATGGGGAGGGACAACCATCTTCCTTTGGGCACCCCAAGCCCTGCATCCCAGGCACACCAGGAGGGTTGGCCAGCTATGAGCTTCTAGGAACTATTTCCAGGACTTCCTGCAGCCTTTCCCGCTGTCCATCTGGTGCTGTCTCTCCAAGGATTCTGTATCCCTGCAGGGCATTTACCACAGCCTGGGAGGAGGTATCCACCTTCACTCTTTATCCACCCTACGGACTGTAAGCTTCTTAAGGGCAGGCGATGTGTCTTTCATCTTTCTATTTCAGTAATAAGTTGCAAGTAGAAGGTATTCCTTAGGTCTTTGTTAAGTTTTTAAATGGGTAAAGTCAACACAGGCTTTGGGTATTTGCAAATACACTTGTTCTGCTCTTATAGTTGATAGTAGTAGGGGGAGGCATTTATTTATTTTTTTCTAATTTGTCATTTGTCCTGCAGATTCCCCCTGAAGGACTCAAAACGTCTGATCCAGTGGTTGAAGGCTGTTCAGAGGGATAACTGGACGCCCACTAAGTATTCTTTCCTCTGTAGTGAACATTTCACCAAAGATAGCTTCTCCAAGAGACTGGAGGACCAGCACCGCCTGCTCAAGCCCACGGCCGTGCCGTCCATCTTCCACCTGGCTGAGAAGAAAAGGGGGGCCGGAGGCCATGGCCGCCCCCGGAGAAAGGACACCAGGAAGGCCTCGGGGGGTCTGAGGGCACATGCAAGTGACATTGCCGACGGGAAGGCAGCTGCAGGGTCATCATCGTCGTCGTCCTCGAGTGAAAGCCTGATGGCCAAGCCCGAGTCCCGCAAGCTGAAGCGGGGCGCGTCACAGGGCAGACCCACAGCCAGGGCCACCCGGGAGGCTGCCGGTCTGCAGCGGGCCCGACAGCCTCCGGAAGGACACTCAGATGACAGTCCGGCCTCCGCCACCGCGTCCGGCGGCCGGGGAGAAGCCAACGCTTGTGCTGTGGATGCCGGCGACGAGAACGCCACCTCCCCGGACGGGGGCCTGGTGGACAGGAGCGGCATTTCTGTGGATGACTTTACCCCACCGGGGTCGGGGGCCTGCAAGTTCATTGGCTCGCTTCATTCCTACAGTTTCTCCTCCAAGCACACCCGCGAGAGGCCGGCCGTCCCCCGGGAGCCCGTGGACCGCAAGAGGCCGAAGAGAGACGCCGAGCCCGGCTGCAGCGGGAGCAGCCCGGGGCCCGATAAGGGGCCGGCGCAGAGCCCGCCACGCGCGCCCCCCGCGGCGAGCTCTTCGCTCACGGCCACGCCGCAGAAGCCCGCGCAGGGCCCCTCGGCACCTCCGGCCGACGCGACCCCGAAGCCAGCGGCCGAGGCCGTGCAGAGCGAGCACAGCGACGCCAGCCCCATGTCCATCAACGAGGTCATCCTGTCGGCGTCGGGGGCCTGCAAGCTCATCGACTCGCTGCACTCCTACTGCTTCTCCTCCCGCCAGAGCAAGAGCCAGGTGTGCTGCCTGCAGGAGCAGGTGGAGAAGAAGAATGGCGAGCTGAGGGCCCTGCGCCAGAGGGTCAGCCGCTCGGACGGCCAGGTGCGCGAGCTGCGGGAGCAGCTGGACCGGCTGCGGCGGCTGAGCCTCCCCCACCCGAGCAGCCTGCTGGCCCCTGGCCGCGGTCAGTACCCGGGCCTGGCGCCCGCGCGGCTGGGGTTCGCGAGCGCGGGGCCTGCGCCGTGCGGTGCCTCCTGAGAGGGGAGCCAGGCCGGCGAGCTCGCCTCACCGGCTGCGCTCCGGGGTGCCTGGGAGGTGGCTGTAGCTGGGAGCCTCAGCCGGTGAGGAAGGAGGGGTGGGAGACCCAGAACCACGGTGGTGGGGCCTGGACGGCTGGTCCTCCGCCCCACCAGGGTCCCTTCCTGCCGCAGACCTCACGCAGACAGAAATTGCTAACGAGTTAGGGTCGAAACGTAAGCTTAGACAGACGCGGTGAGCCGTTAGAAAGATCGTAGGAGACCCTTAAAATCACGAGGAGGTTCTTTCTAGTTGGGGTGTGATGAATATCCTGACGTTAAAGCATTTTGAACATTAATAATAACATTTTAAAAATTTTAGACGCCTATTCAAGTAGAGTATGTTCTCTCGTAAGAACACTGCAGAAATACACCGGCTAAGAAGTGGTGAAGATTCCCCTTTCCCACTCACCTCCCCACTTTTATTCCTGGTTGCCATTAAAATTTAGTGTGCAGGGCTTCCCTGGTGGCGCGGTGGTTGGGAGTCCGCCTGCCAGTGCAGGGGATGAGGGTTTGTGCCCCGGTCCGGGAGGATCCCACATGCCGCGGAGCGGCTGGGCCCGTGAGCCATGGCCGCTGAGCCTGCGCGTCCGGAGCCTGTGCTCCGCAACGGGAGAGGCCACAACAGTGAGAGGCCCGCATACTGCAGGAAAAAAAAAAAAAATAGTGTGTATTCTTAGACTTTTTTAAATGTTTTATGAAAAATATATTCATTTGGCTGCATTGGGTCTTAGTTGCGGCACATGGGATCTTTGGTTGTGGCATGCGGGCTTCTTAGTTGCAGCATGCCAACTTTTATTTCTTACAGAATCAGTTTTGAGGTTAGTATCTTTTGCCTGTTATGTGTATAAAGGTGGAAACCATTTTCCTACCACATCGTGCATATAGTCTGAATCATCGTTTGTCTTCCAGGTTGTAATTACCACTGCAGGTGAGAAAAGGCTCCATCCAGTGTGTGACAGGCTGTTCAGGGCCTACTAGACCCCCAGGTCAACAACCATCAGCACAACCAAAAACAAAAGCAAAACCCAATGCCATCCTGATGTACTGGTCAGAGTTACACACTACATTCTCCTGTTATTTTAAAGTGGTTTTTGTAGTTTCTCGTACCTGATATTACTTGTTGGTACATTTTTCTGCTCCTCTTGGTCAGACGCCCCATAGTTTGTCACTCTTGCAGGTCTTTCCAAACAGCCTGCACTGATTAGGTCTCCATTGTTGTTTCTGCTTCCTTCTTCCTGACTTCTTTCTGCTTTCTTGGGTTTTATAGCTGTTCTGGCTCCTGGAGGGAAGTGCATAACGTCTTTGGGGACAGTTTATGTTTCTCGGTACCTGCAGTTGAGGCTGGATCCCTCCTTCTGTCCCTTTGGCTCCGCGCCACAGACCCGCCTCCTGTTGCTCTCCTTGCCCTTAGTTTCTAAAGAGTTTGTAATTTCAGTCTTGATTCCCTCTTTAACTTGAGTTGTTTAGGAGGGTGTTGTGGTTTTCAAGTGGACGGATTGGGGGAAGGGAGTTAATTTTTTGTGTTATTGTTAAGGTTCAGTGACTTAAAGATACTTGCTTTATAGAATCTTCTGAGGTTTCATTGTGGCTCAGACGCTCTTTGTTTGTGACTGTTTCCTTACAGCTTGAGAAGAAGGTGTCCCGTCCATCGATTGGTTACATTGTTCTGTCTGGCTGAGGCTGGATCTAGCTTATTTTACTGGTCAACTGATCTGTTTCCTAACTTACTGTATCCACTGACCTGTTGATTTTTAAGAGGTGAGGTAGGTCTGTCACTGTGATTCCTGAGGTGCCATTGCTTCTTGAATGTCTGTTCAGTTTAACTGTATTTACAGACCGTGTTATTAGATACGTGAGTATGCCTCCGTGTTACCAAACAGAAAAGCCTATTTTGTCCCATTTAAAGTTTCACTTGTCTCCTTATTTTCAACCTTTTTATATCCCTTTATTTTGTAGCTATATTTTAGCTCAATCTGAGAGCCTTATATAAAGTAATCCGTTTACAAGTGGGATTATAGATAAATTGAAACTTGGGCCTGACTCTTTATTTTATTTTTTAATTTGTTAGGCTTTCTCGTTGTTTCTTTTTCTATTCTGATGGGTGTCTGTCAGCCTTCATCCTGTCTTCCTGTAAATGCTTGAGTTGAGGGGCTCCTGTGCCCCTTCCCAGCCCCCGTCCCTCCCCCCCGTCCCTCCCCCCGTGTGGGTCGTCTCTGATCTGAGCTCCAAATCCTCATCTCCCCAGTAGATGCACGTACACGTGGTATTGGTTACTTTATTCACCATGATTTATCGTTACCAATTTTTCCCTCTTTTGGATAAATAGTTAATGATTTGGGGGGAACTCACATGACAGAGAAGCTTTGAGAGGAATCGAGTTTGAGATGCCTCACAGGTGCTGATGCCAGAGAGCCAGCACCCAGCCTCTTGACGTTGCTTGTGTGTGCCTGCAGAGGGGGGAGAAAAAGGTATTGTAGAAAGGGCGGTGCTTTGCTGGGCTGCCGCAGCTCTGATCAGAATGGAGAAAGGATGGCTGACTCGGCCACATGGGGTCACTGGTGACCACAGTCTCCTTGGAGTGGTGGGAATGGAGCTGGGTGTAGAGCCAGTGAAGGGAGGGGCCGGTGAGGGTGGCTGGGGACCAGGCACTTTAAGAGGTCGAGCTGTGGGGACAGTGGGCAGTAGCCAGAAGGGAACACGACTCCACGGGGAAGTTGTGTGTGTCAGATGCGGACGAGGGAGCAGGTGTCTGCTGGGGCCCAGATGGACAGGGAGAGCCGTGAGGACAGACAGGAGCGCACTGGGCCCTGAGGAGGGGGTGGGGGTGGGTGCTGCCCCTCTGCTCCTGGGCTCCCTGGGGTGGAGGGAGAGGCTGCAGGAAGAGCTGGGCCAGGGGCAGTGGGAGGGATGGGAGGGAGAGAGGCCACGCAGGGCCTCGCTCGGAGCCACGGTCCCCGCCTGTGGCTCTCCTTGGCGTCTGCTCCCTCAACCGTTCCCAGTGTGCTTACGACTTCATTCATCGGTGAAGGAACCTTCTGATGATTTTATAGGGTGTGTTGAAAGGACTGTGCACATGTTTATTCAGTCCCTGACCTGCAGCCAGTCCCATTTTTTTGGACAGAATCGCTGAAGCAGAGAAGCCCGGCCAGTGGACCTGCAGGTTCCGGGCTCTGGGAAGTTTGCCCTCCAGAAAGCTGGTGCTGAGTGGCATTCCCACAGGATGGGGTGCTCTGTCCCTGAGCCCGTGCTGAGTCCAGGCGTCATGCCGCACCAGGCCGCGTGGCTGGCCTTTCTGTGAACCAGTGAGGATGCACATCTTTCCGCGTTCATCCCCTCTCTGTCCTTCCCGTGCCATTCCCGCCTTGCCCACTGACCTGTGAATGTCCCTGATGTGACAAGGATGTCCACTATCGAGTGTGATTCAGCCGTGCCCTCAGTTTTAATTTAATACTTGCTTCAAAAATATGTTTTCTTCCCGCTCTTTTATTCATTATACAGACAGTTCTTGAGCTAATCTGGAGTCTTAAAAGCTTTTTATTGTGGGAATCTTGAACATGTACAAATTAAGCAGAAAAGTATAATAACCCCCTTGTACCTACCCCCTAGCTTCAACATTTATCAGTATTCTGATACTCTTGTTTCATCTATATTTTTACCTACTCCCTACCTTCCATTGATTATTGTCTGATTAATAGAGTTTTTTTTTAGGGAAGTTTGAGATTTACAGAAAAATTCAGCAGATAGTACAGGAAATTCCCCCACAGTTTCCCCTGCTACTAACACCTTGCATTTCCACTTGTGTTAGTGTGGTTCATTCATTACAAGTTATGAACCCATATAGATACGTTGTGATTAACTAAGTCCACAGTTTACATTTAGGTTCCTGTCCTATACTTGGATTTTTTTTTTCACTGACAAACTATTGTTAACAAAACAGAGTATCTTTCAAAGATACAAATCTCAAGAGGATTTTATTTAAGACCAACTCAGTAAAATGAAGTAAAAGATTGGGTGGGTAGAAATTTTGTGATTTCAAACCATTGAAGATGAATCATTGCTGGGCAAGAAAAACATGGTTGGGGAAGGGACAAAAAGAGGACTCTTTCAAACAAGTACAAACACAGGAGCACCGGCCTTGCCCCACTGAAGGCCTGGGGAGGAAGGCGACCACTGCACGCGTCTGAGTCCCGGCCAGGGTCTGTGCACCCCTGGAAACACTCGGGCAGGTCAGCCAGCAGGACGCCTTATACTTGGGTTTTGACAGATACATGAGCACATGTATCCTCATTACAATATCATAGAGTAGTTTCACTGCCCTAAAAACCTCTCTGTCCACTGTTCATGCCTTTCCTCCCAATCCTTGGCAGCCACTGATCTTTAGACTGTTTCTGTAGTTTTGCCTTTTCTAGGATGTCGCATGATTGGGATGTATGGATGCTGTGAACTACAGTATGCAGCCTTTTCAGGTTGGCTTCTTTCACTTAGTATATATTTAGGGTTCCTCTGTCGTTTTATGGCTTGATAGTTCATTTCTTTTTTGTTGTTGTTCCTTTTCTTATATTGAGTTAAAATACAAATAACAAAAAATTTATCTTCCTAACAGTTTGTCAGTGTACAGTTCAGTGGCATTAAATACATTCACGTTGTTGAGCAGCCGCCACCACCATCCATGCCCATAACTCATGTAAATCTGAAACTCTATACCAATTAAACAATAACTCTCCCTCTCCCTGCGCCTAGCCATTGGCAGCCACCATTCTACTTTCTGTCTCCATGATTTTGACGCATTTAAGTGAAATCATATAGTATTTGTCCATCTGTGATTAGCTGTTTCAGTTAGCCTAGTGCCCACAACGTACATCCATATTGTAGCATACTGCAGAAT